TGTTGTAGGTTGGGTTAGTAGAAAATGTCTAGCCAATATGCTTAATAAGCTGAATAATTTTAAAGTTTGTAGTTAGACAGTTAGGACCATCGATAATAGGTTTAGGATGTAAGAAAATATTAGTAGGAGACCAGAGGTTGTTTTGTAACTGTTAAATTCGGATGCGAGTTGATATGCCTAACAGGTCAGGATTATTAAGTCATTTAAGAAGATTAGGAATATAGTGTTGTAGTTGAATGTCCCAGATGTGTTTAATGTTGTAAATTTGAGGATGTAAGAGGGTACTAGAGAGTATTGTATAGCAGAGTTTGGCCTTGAGTTTAACAAGTCCAATATGCTGAGTAAGGATTTTATTGCAGGTAGATTGACTAACTACAATGTTTTGGAGATGATATTCGAGAATAGGAATGATAACTGTATTGATAATATAGCAGGCATATGAATCAGTAATACGTTTGGTTTTAGCAATTTGGATAAGTTGAGAGGATTCAGCAATAAGCAGTTTTGTTTGTTTGGATTGCTATTGTCCAAGGTGAATCAGCAACCTAAAAATTTAAAAGGTTGTTTAGGAGAGTGTAGTGAAAGAAGGTGATTATTATAGGAGATAAGAGTATAGTGGGATGGAGGGTTGTTGGTAACCAGAATGGATTTTGTAGGGTTAACTTAAATGTTAGCCATAATATAAAATGATTCAGCTATGGATAATATATTAGAAAGCTTAGTTTGTGATGAGGCAACCCAAAGAGTATTATTATATATGCAAAACAGAGCATTGTTGTTGTAATGAGTTAAATGTTTGGAGTTTAAGATTGGTAGCCCAAGAGGATTGTAAAGTATAACCAGGTATTTGTGTATGTATGTATGAGATAAGTGGATCGTAGTATATGTACCATAATAAAGGAGTAATGGTTTCACCTTGGTCAATACCATTGTGAACAGGGTAAGAGGGAGTAAGGCCAAGATTAGTAATAACTTGATTGTGATGGTCAGTTAAGAGGTCAGAAAGAATGTTAATAATGGAAGAAGGAAGTGCCAAATGAGAAAGTAAATGTTTAAAAAGAGTAAAGTTAACAGAGTCATATGTTTTACTCATATCCTGTGAAAGTAGCCAAATGTCCTTGTGGTTACAAGTAGTATCTTCAATAAGGTTATTGAGGATGTGAATAGGAATTGAAGTGCTATTGTTAGGAAGTGTAACATAATTAAAAGGTGAGAGGATAGGATTAGAAGAGAATATGGTGCTTAGTCTATTTCTCAGAATTTTGGTATATAATTTGCGAATATGTTCAACAAGGCTAATAGGTTGAGTGAGATTGAGATCACCATCAAAGGAGTTACATTTAGGAATAGGGTAAATTCTGCTATGTTTCTATTGCTTGGGGATTCTATTTTCAAGAAGACAATGGTTAAAGAGACTAGTAATGGCAGAAGTGCATTCAGAGCTAATGTGTTTAAGCATTTTATAACTATTTATACTAAAATTTACTTGTGTCATTAAATATAAAGCATAATAACAATTTTCAAAAATACAATATGCATTCATATTATTGCTGAGATTTATTAATATTAATAGAATCACTAACTTAATTCTTATACATAATAGTTAGATATATAGTAAATTTTGATCATCCAAAGTGTCATTATTAATGCATATTTATTGTGATCAAAGAACTTAAAATAATAATATATTTACATTTAATTTAGATAGATTAAAATGATGTTTTATATGACTGGAATTTACTATTGCTATATATCATTTTAAAAAGATTTGTAAGTTGATAATATTGTATAATATAAAAATTTATTTGAACTATGTGATAAAGCATTATACTTATATATTAAACTGTATATATATCTGTGATGAGAACAGGATCATAATTGTATTGCAAGGTAAGTAATGTTTATTAAGCAGACTAAAGATTCATTTCTTTACAAAATACTTATTTATACTAATGCTAATAACTAACTTATGACTATATTTTTAATGCACATTAATTAATTAACCTATAACTAACTTTACTATATTTTTAATGTGCATTAATTAATTAACCTATGACGCACTGCTTGCTTAATTATTTGAATCGTGATCATGTGATCACGGTGTGAGTAATTAAATGAACGAACTCCATCGATCATGAGATTATGAGATCATCGAGCACGATCATTGGTCATGTGATGTTCGATCATGATCATGACAGTATCTCCCCCCTTAAGCCACTTCTTTCGGTTTGTGAAGATATCATTGATGAAATTCATCTACAGCTTTTTGTGCATTAACTACCTTCTTTTTAGGCTCCCAGGATCTTTTCTCAACCCCGTACCCCTTCTAGTCAACCAGGTAATATAACTTCTTCCGAAAGATTTTAGAGTCAATTATTTCATTGACTTCATACTCAGTTTCCCCATTAACTATCACTGAAAGAGGTGTCCTGGCTTCCTTCCCGGAATTGTACTATGAGTGTAAGGCTCCAATAATGACACATGGAATGTATTGTGAATTTTGAGTGTGGGTGATAAAGATAAACAGTACGTAACTGGGTTGACTTGGGCTGATATAGTATATGGCCCTAATCGGCGATAGTCTAACTTTTCAGAGGGTCTCATAGTACGAATGTTCCTTTGTAGCAACCAAACTTTATCTCCAATTTGGTATGATAGGTGCTCTTGTCGATGCTTATTCGCATTTTTCTTATACTATTTTTGGGCGATTGATAGTTTATCATAAAGGGTTTGTGTAATTTGTTGTAGTTCAGCAATTTTATTTTTCGCTGCAGAGACTGATGACCAATTGGGTTTTTGAATATCAAACTGAGGGTTGAATCTATAATTTGCAAAAAATGGCGTGAACTTGGTTGATGCATGAATAGAATTATTATATGCAAACTCAGCAAAGGCAAGTAGATCTGTCCAGTTGTCTTGATGATAATTAACAGTACACCTTAAGTATTGTTCCAATACCTGATTTACCCGTTCACTTTGTCCTTTCGACTGAGAATGATAGACTGAGGATAAACTAACATTGGTTCCCAGAAGTTTGAACAAACACTTCCAAAATTTAGAAGCAAATTGGGGGCCCCGATCCGAAACAATATCTTCTGGAATACCATGAAAGTGAATAATTTCCTAAAAGACCAGGTAAGCTGTTTGTTCAGCAGTGATGTCCTTGTTACAAGCTATAAAGTGTGCCATTTTAGAAAACCTATCTACTATAACTAGGATAGAATTATAGTCGGATGAAAAGGGTAGGTCAGTGATAAAATCCATAGAGATTGATTGCTACTGACATGTAGGAATGGGTAATGGTAGTAATAGCCCATGGCTCTTGTGCTTAGGCAGTTTTGATCTGGCACATATGTCACAAGATTTTATATATTCTCTTATGAATTTTCTCATCTGTGGCCACCAGTAATCATGAGATAATAACTCAAGGGTCTTAGCTATACCAAAATGTCCTGCTAGTTTTGAGTCATGCTTCGATTGAAGCAATTCAAACCTTTCTGCATTTTTAGGTACATATAACAACCCATCCCTAAATAGTAGACTGTCTTGATAGGAGAATTTATAACAATCCCCACTTGAGCTTGGACCTGACTGGAGAAGTTAAGCTAGTATGTTTTTTGCGAGTGGGTCCGACTTTAACTGGGAATGGATCCTATCCCTCAAGGTATGGTCTATTGGTGTGATAAAAGTAGCATTCAGATAGGCCTTTTTGAATAAGATGGTTCATTGTGATATGAGCTCTCTTTCCTTATGAGGATGATAGTCTGACCTGCGTAATAATGCATCTGATTTTCCTTGTTCTTTTCCAGGTCGAAAATGTATTACAAAGTCGTAATCCGAGAGTTAAAGCACCCAACGAGCTTGATGACAGTTAAGAATCTTAGCAGTAGTAAAATATTGAAGGTTTTTATGGTCACAATATATCGTGAGCTGATGTTGGGCCCTTCTAGGTATTGGCATCAGTGTTTTAATGCCGAAACAATTGCTAACAATTCTTTGTCATATACATCATAGTTAATTTCAGCTAGAGTGAATTTTCTGAAATAGTATGCCACGAGGTGTAGTTCTTCGTCATCTTGGTATTGGGACAGAACTGCTCCCAGAGCATAGTCAGAAGCATCCGTTTCAAGGTAATATGGTTTTTTGGGGTTTGCATGTGCTAAGAGTGGTGAAGATGTGAAAGCTTTCTTCAATAAGTCAAAGGCTTGTTGCGCAGAAGAAGACTAATGGAGTACTTTGTTAGCTTTTTGGGTTAGGTTAGTTAAAGGAGTGCCGAGTTGAGAGTAGTCCTTTATAAAATGTCGATAATAATTTGCGAAGCCCAGGAACCATAGTACGTTTCTAATGGTTTCTGGTATTGGCCACGACAAGATAGCTTCTACCTTTCCTTTATCCATTTGGATCCCCTTTTGGGTAATGTGGTATCCTAAGAAATTGACCTCATCCTGATCAAATTCACATTTTTTCAGTTTTGTGTACAGTCCAAACTGCCAAAGCTGTCCCAAAACGAGCTTTATATAATCATTATGCTGCTCCTGATTTGGAAAATAAACCAGAATATCATTCAAGTAAGTGATAACAAAATAATCTAAGAAGTCTCGGAATATGTCATTCATCATGTGTTGGAAGACTGCTAGAGCATTTGTTAGCTCGAAGGGCATAACCATATATTTGAAGTGCCCATAACAGATGCGAAAAGCAGTTTTCTATTCGTCGCCAGGGTGAATGCGAACTAAGTTATAAGCTCCTCTGAGGTCAATTTTTGTGAATTTTGTTGCAGCAGCTAGTCAGTCTAATAATTCAGGAATAAGGGATAAAGAATATCTATTTTTAATGGTAATTTTATTCAAACTTCTAAAGTCCACACAGAGATGCAGTGAACCATTCTTCTTTTTAACAAAAAGGACAGAGGCCTCAGCTGGAGATTTTGAGTGTCTAATAAACCTCTTCTCTAAATGTTCTTATATATACTGCTTGAGTGTTTTTAATTTCTGCTCTGACAGTCCATAAATAGGTCTCCATGAAGGTTGGGCATTAGGAATTAAATCGATGGCGCAGTCATACAGCCTGTTTTCCGGCAGCTTATCTGCCTCCTTTTTGCTAAATACGTTACTAAATTCTTGATATTTCTTTGGAACAGATGCTTGAATGGTGGAGGTCTGTAAGACTGCTGCTAGAAACACCTGCACCATGTATAACCATTCTTGATTTTTATTATTTTCTGGGAATACCTTAATAGTTAAGTGTTCCTTTGAGTGATCACTACAAGAAGGGTCTGAGAAGATAAGAAAATGTTCCTTCCAATCGATTTTGGAGTTGTGTTTTATCAGCCAAGACAGACTCAAAATGACATGGTAATGAGGTGAGGGTATAAGGTTAAAAGAAAGTTTCTCTTTATGGTCTTGCAACCAGAGTTGTGGAGGTTCTGTTTCGTGAGTTACTGCCCTAGACTCAACTTCTCTTCCATCAATGACTTCTACTGAAAGAGGTGTAGGCTTTTTAATCGTGAATATAGAATGTTCTTGAGCCAGGGCGGTATCTAGAAAACAAGACAATGTCCTGAATCAATTAGAGCTATAGTTAATAAATCAGCTCCGTTTGGAAACTGTAGTTTTATTGAGAAAGTAAGGGCCTCAGTGAAGTCAACTGCTATTAATGCTCTGAAGATATTGGTGTATACTTTATCCAGCCGTAACTCCCCTATTGCGACTGGGGTTCCTCTTTTTCCGAACTTTCTTGGGTCACAGCTATAGCATCGATTCTATGCTGTCTGCTATTACCCTTTTTGGAGCATCTTCTAATCATGTGTCTTGAGTCTTCACAATACAAACATAGGTTATTGGCGTAATGTCATCTTTTCTCTTCTTCAAACAAAGATTTCGGCCAGGAAAAATCGATTTGCATCAGCTCTGGAACTTGAATTTGATTGACAGTAGGTACTGGGGATTGATTCCAACTTATACCAAAATCAAAGTGTCATTCTTGTCATCGTTTGAACAGTCTGTTGTCACATCTTACAGCTTTTGTGATTGCATCATTAAGGAAGGTAGGGTCTGGCATTTTAAGAAGTAAATTCTTTACATCTCCACGAAGCCCGGTTCGAAATTGATCAATCAACACTGTCTCACCCCAGTCCAAATCACCTGAAATTTGTCGAAATTCAGAAGCATAACTAGCCGCAGATTTGAGGCCCTGGGTAAGTTTACGAATTTTGTTTGCAGCTGTTCTTGTCTTATCTGAATCTCCAAAAGTTGCCTCAAACACTTCAACAAAGTCATCAAAATTTTCAAGTAGAGGTGAGGACTTCTCTAATAGGGGCGCAAACTATGCCAGGGCTGAACCTGTCAACAGACTTCCAATCAAGCCAACTTGGGTTGCGTCATTTGGATAGTGTTATGGCTGCAGCTGTATAATAAGACATATTTGGTTTAAGAACTCACGAAAATTCACGCATGATCTGTCGAACTTGTCAGGTAGACTTATTTTGGGCATTGTTTGCTTAAAATCATTAGGGTTCTGAGTGGCTAATTGGTCAACCGTAATATATAAGGCTTCGTTTTCTTGATGAAGGGCCTGATTATCTCATTGAACTTGCTGTAGTGCTGCTACAATAGTGTTAAGGTCGTATTGGTCTTGTAGATCATCCATGTTGAGGATTTTTTATTTTATTATTATTTATATATATATATATATATATATTTTTTTTTTTTCTAGTTACAAGAACAGGTTAGAAGGGCCAGGATAAATTAGTCTGCTTAATACTGTGACGAAAACGGGATCACGATTGTATTGCAAGGTAAGCGATGTTTATTAAGCAGACTAAAGATTCATTTTTTTACAAAATACTTATTTATACTAATGCTAATAACTAACTTATGACTATATTTTTAATGTGCATTAATTAATTAACCTATAACTAACTTTACTATATTTTTAATGCGCATTAATTAATTAACTTATAACACACTGTTTGCTTGATTATTTGAATCGTGATCATGTGATCATGGTGTGAGTAATTATACAAATGAGCTCCGTCAATTATGAGATCATGAGATCATCAGTTACGATCATTGGTCATGTGATGTTCGATCACGATCGTGACAATATCTAAGCTATATTTAGTTATATGTTTAATATATATCATTTTCTATCACTATTGATTATTTCTATATTATAATTATTTACTACTTGTTTGTAATTAATTAGTTGCACTATTTACTCATAGCATGTAATTTATAGAGGTTGTTGATTTATTGATTATATTAAAAAATTTGAGTTCAATATAATAAAGATAATATATGATATATTAATAATAAATTTTGTAATTAAGTTTAATTAAGTTGGCAATGCTAAATATAAAGTTTATTTTCATTTAGTATATTATGTTATCAA